AATATCTCATGCTGGCAATTATTTTTTCTATAGTTTTGCAATTCTGACGGATGTGAATGGTGCCATGTTAACTGCTGTATGAAACCAAATGGTTGTTAAAGTCAAAATATAATATGGATATATTACATTGCATGAAAATGGATGGGAGCTTCTGGATTAACAGAAATGTATTTTTAAAACAAGAATGCTGATTTACAAGTTTGTATGGATACTGTATATTACATCTAATGCAATGGGATGCAATCTGAATTTTGCTGTACTTGTTTCCAATCTACCATATGGATGTCAGGAACATTGTATGCCAAGATATTACATACCTTTATATGTACAGTAACCTAACAAGTTATTGGACAATAATGATGGCCAACAATGGATACTACCTGTACATGCTAAATAAATACAAAATATTTATATATTGGACAAAAAACGAATAGTATAAGACTTGTTTACAAAATGGAAAATACAGTATGGACTATCATTACCTTGGAAAGAAAGAATATCAAAACTTGCAACAAACTGGTCATATCATGTTAAAAGACATATCGTGTATATTCCTCATTGTGTTCTTCTAGACGTTTTGACAAGTGAAGATTGTTTAAAACATTGGTACCAACAATCACAAGCATACATTTAAATATGGAAATCCGAACTACACTTTATAGTATATATAGTAATTATTGCATGTTGTAATTTCGATATTTCTTAAACAAAATAAATTCATACATACCCTGTGTATAAGGCAATTTAAGTAAATGAAGTTTATTGGTATAATCAACCCCCAGGACTTTGGTGTTGAGGCAGCACTTCCCTTGCGATAGTAACTTCTAGTATATAGAATAATTGTTGTTGAATTTGTTGTATATAAATAAATTGTTTCACATGTTGTATTCATTTGTTGTTTTATTGCAATGGAAGTGATACTAGACGAATTACAGACACGGGGCATTGATATTGACATGAGAACATTATCTCATGCTATTAATGATTTGCTTGAGCGCCACAATGCGTTGTACAATCAAATGGTAGTGAATGTTAATCCTAATGAAATGCATGTTGTTTTTAACACAATCAATGTGACTAATTTTGGCCGCGCCATGGCCTATCTGACACTAGTTTATTTGATACACGATTCTGAAGATACTATGCACAGGGCTTACAACGCCCTTGAAAAGTTTTGATCTTAGTGCGTTTCAAATCCAGGAGAGTTTTTTCCATAGAATGATCAGGCAGGTGTTTAAGATATAAAACGAACGGACACGCCAAATAATAACACAGTACGTGTTGTGCACGTGAACACGATGGACGTGAGATTTAAAACGCCAGTGAACTTTTATATTTGTGGGCAGTCTTAAAGTGGGAAGTCTTATTTGGTTCATTCTATGTTACGGCATGCAGAGGAACTATTTAATCCCGTGCCGACTAAAATAATATACTGTTACGACATATATCAGAAGGAATTCGAAGAAATGTTGCAAGCAATGCCTAATTTGACTCTGGTGGAAGGATTTCCCAATAATTTATGCGAGATGACCCGCGGATATGATAATTTGTTAGTCGTGCTCAATGACTTAATGTCTCATTGTTCCAGAGACCCGTGTGTCTCAGATTTGTTTACATGTGATTCCCATCACCTTGACATGTCTGTGCTGTACCTTACTCAGAATTTGTTCCCGCCAGGCGGACGTTCCCGAACAATCAGTTTGAATAGTCACGTTATCGTCGTGTTTAGAAACCCATGTGACTCGCTTGGTGTTTCCACACTTGCCAGACAGATGTTTCCTAAACATACCGGATACCTTTTGGATGCATTTCACAATGTGACGAGGAGACCTTATGGATATTTAGTCATCGATTGTCATCAGCTGACTCCGGAAAATATGCGTTTGAGGACCAACATTTTACCTGGAGAGAAACAGTTTGTTTATGTGAAACGTGCTTAAAAGCTGAACGTGTATTGAAAACGGGTCATTTTCAAGATGTCGAAGCGCTTGAAAGGAAGTCTGCTGTATCTGTAGCTTCATCCGGATAGAAATGAATGTTTGAACAAAATCCAAATGAATCTACTGGGGGTAGACGCGGTGCGTTGAATAAATCGAACTCGGCGTTAGAATTTTGACAAAAATGTTATAACAATTTAATAAACAGATAACAGGATATATACAGGTGTGAAATATGTACAATACAATGATATCACGATACGACGACTTGTTGGGAATGAGGTGTCGAAATGTGAAATCGATGTTGTAGGTTTTAGTTGGTAGGATCAAATTCAATATCAAGACGTTGAATCACTTGAATGTTGATAAATCGCAGTTTTAGATCATTTAGATTGTCGTTTATCGTGGTATATTGTCCTTGTAGATGATATACTATCGAAAGATATAGTATGGTTGATACAGAATCACATAGAATCGAGTAGAATCGATCGAGTAGAATCGTAACGTGTTGAATCGATCGGATAGAATCATAGATATCCTATATACACTAGATAGTGCATCTAATTATTCTGCAATTCAAAAATTGAAGCCGTGATTGCAGTCTCAGGTCGTTCCCATGAAATGAGAAGATTCGTATGTTTTCTATTTCTTAAACAGGGAACTTAAACATTAAGTTAACCCTATTCCAAATACGTTTTTAAACTATTCAAATGATGAAAGTTATTGTTGTTTTTAAGCGTTTATTAGCAAGTGGGAACGACCAATATGGCCGCTATCTATTCAAATGGGGGTAACCGCTGGAATATTCTTGGCTTCAATTTTAATAAAAGAGATGCGCTATCTAGTGTATATAAGATGTCTATGGATAGAATCGGTTCGAATTTGGTTTGCTAACGCACCAAACTTTAACTTTTAATAGCGTAGATATATGTGTAGCTTCTTCTTTCAAGCCAAGATAGAGTAAAGGTAGACGGTCTTCCTAACGTGGATAGAACTTGGCCAATACAGGGTCCAAAACAACTATTGCTTACTCACAAGCATCCGCGTTAAAGACTTATTGCAGAATGAAGTTTACAAGTTGGGTAGACTGTTTTTGCACAAAAACAAACTGGGATTTACTGCGTAATCTACAAACCTATGTTTTCACAACGGACATAGCGTGGCTAGGCTAGGCAACCGCATTACGCATTTGTTGACCATACTTACGCATTTTGATGGGAACTTTTGCTTATAGCGGAAAATAACAACTTGTTTGTTTCCCATCGAACCTTTTCGAAAACATTAATTTGACCTTCCGTTTCGAAAGCAACAGTATCTACAGGTCATGGGGAAATGTGGACCTAAACTACGTAAATTCATGATCAACAACTTTCCAGCAGAGGTCATCACCGCTATCTGCAAGTGTTCCTTGAATTTGCTTAAAGGTGTCATCCCATTATCACCTCGTGAAAAGCGACGTTTAGCGCATTACAAGACACACCTCTGTGATCTGGCCAGTAAGAAAGTATCGAGAAGATGGAAAAAGCAACGCCTTAATCAAAAAGGTGGAAATTTATTGTCAGCTCTCTTACCACCCGTGTTGAGTGTACTTGGAAGCCTGTTAGTATGAAGCATGCAAAACGCATGGTATTGGTCCCGGAGGACGTGCTTAATCGTTATGAGCAGAAACAAAAGATTGAAACCTCCCCCATTACATCTAATATGATGCATCAGGATACGGCGAAGTCAGAGATTCTTCAGAGTACGGACATATCCAATGCCGAAAAACAGAAATTGTACAATGCGAACATGCAAAGTTATTTAAGTTTGAGGCGGCAGAAGGACGATCAGATACCTACAGTCCGCATAGCACCAGATGCGGAACAGAAGTCCAAAGGGAGAGCGCCTTTATCTGACGCGGACATGATCGGTCATTTACCTGTAAACCCTGTGCCCGAAAGCCGCAACTCTTTTGAGACGCTTGAAAGCAAGACCCGATGTTATCTCCAAGTTAAAGTGGACGGCAAAGAGGTTCCTGATTCAAATATATCGGATTTGGTCAGTGATGCCATGCGGGCACGGAAGAATTTTAATCCCAAGGGAGCACAGGAATTCTTTCGTGGACTGTCAAAGATTGGTATACCCAAAGATATTGCAAGAAACACAGAAAGATGGAATCAGGTTCAAATAGGCAGTCCGTCTGGCGTGGAAGAGGTTGTCTTTAAGACACCGCCACCGAGACCGCCACCACCAACATCACCTCGTGCAAGTCCCGAGAAATATCTCTGTGGTTTATTCAGAAGACAGGCGGCAAAATCAAAACAATGGCTTCCTTATTAAAAAAATGTAACTGTTTGCATGTAATAATTAACTGCAGGTGCTATGGAGAACTGGATATCAATGGCCAAATTTCCTTTCTGTACCACGTTGAAATGAGGAGAAGCTCCACACATGTCCGGTGTCAGGTCAAAGGCGTACACAGTGTAGCCTTTGGGGAATTCTTCTCGAGATATATCGTTTCCTGTGTTGTAGTACATTTTCCCCGTGCCAGAAAACAGGGTGCTGAATGCTTACATGTATCTAGGTGCTGCACCATAGGAAAGCTGCAAGGGTTTAAATGGCATTTCTTCTCCTTTGACGGTTATTCCAATGGAGGACACGCTTTTTCAGGGCACCGTTAAACACGTCGCTTTCGACCATTCTGAAGACAAATGTTTTCAGCACCAGTCCATTGAAAAGGCTATCTTTCCTCAGGGAGAAATTCCCTGCGGGGACGATGAAGCTTTTGCATTCGACACAACGAACATGATAGATGGCAGGTCCCTTTTTCAACGCGATTTCATGGCCCACGGAAATGCTAGGATTGACTTTCACTTTACGTATCTTGAGATTAGCATCAGTGAGTTTCATGCGGTAATCGGCATCGTCCTTGGAGGCCATCAAACAGAACTCGTCGCTGCTCTGATTCAAAATAACTTTCAGATCTACATAACTTTCAGATCTACGTAATTTTCGCCATGGCACTTGTACATGGTGGTCCAGGTGTCAATTGTCTCTCAAGTTCATGTTGCGATGTGATTGTTAATGAATTGGGAACGCAGAACCTCGTGCAACACCTGATGATATTCCTGATTTTGAGATGAGGGAATCGCTTGGCAAGTTATTACCAGCTCCTTGTGTGGATGCTGCTCGGAAAATCATTAGCGACGAAAAGTTGGATACCATATTTGACATGGCAGGCACGTTGCAGATGATTAAAATTAAGGCCGATATTGACAAGATAGTCCAGCGCACCATAAACTGGTATGTGTTGGGGAGAAGTCAACCAGCATACTACAGCTTCAAGGAAGGCTTGCGAGCCTTAGGTGTACTCGAAGCCATGTTGAAATACCCAAATTTGTTCAGAGAAACATTTTGTTACAATTCAGAACATTTAACCGTTGGCATGATAATGTCTGTTTTCAAAGTGAAGCGTGCAGAAGAAGGTTAAATAGAAGAAATGTTGAAAGTCTAGTCCTGTCACACTAGTATGACTTCCTGCAAGACACCGAAGAAGACCCCACACAAATGAACCTCTCGGAAATTTTGTTCTTTGCATCTGGTTGCAAAATCTTTCCTCCCCAAGACTTACATTGTGAATTACAATTTCTGCACGAAACTGAAAAAGATGAAAAGTTATCTAAGTTTCCTAAAGCTAACACGTGCGCGTGTATCCTTAATCTGCTGGTTGTTCATGGTGATTACGATAGCTTCAAGAATGCATAGTGTTCGGCATTAAAAATGCTCGCGCATTTGGCTGTGCATGAACAATCGTATATATACATCCAGTACTATACCAGTATTTGACTATATGGATTGAGAAAAAATGTTTGCATTAGTTGAGATTAGCATAACAGTTGAGTTTTGTTTAGGAGAACAGTGTTTTTATTTGTATCATACTGATGCAACAACCTGTTTTATATCGTGTTTTATATAGTAAACAAATATGATGAACCAGTAAAGATGAACCAGTTTCAATCGGCCCATGTTCACTCTCCTCCCACAGAAGTAATTATACATGCTGGTACTAACAACATAATCACCGACTCTACCAAAGAATGTTTCGATAATATTCAGCTTCTAAGTTCCAGAATAAAGAGCATGTTTAAGGAAGCTAGAATCACGATATCCAGCCTTATAACGAGAGAGGATATTGATGTAACATTAAAGACACAAGAACGAATGAGTTATTAAAGGATCTATGCTCAAAAGAGGGCTATACCTATATTGAAAATGGAACATAGATGCAATTTGCCTGAATGGGTCCAAGCTACATCTTAATGCGAAAGGTTCGGCACTACTGGCTGTTCACTTCATCAAATTTATTAGAGGAACTAGCTCACAATCAAGTGCTGGGGGTTTTCCGAAGGAACTTCGACAACTGGGAGAGCTGTTAAGGATGATCATGCTCCAGACATCAAAGAAGCGAACTCATCGATAAACAATATGATGCCTGACTCTGAAGGTAAAAAAGACTCTTATTTGCATAAAATTAAAAAACTAATGGGGCTGAAAATAGCAAGCTTAAATATTAATAGTCTCTTAAGACATGTTGATGAACTTCGACTGATGTTATCCGATTCTGAAATTGACGTTTTTGCTATAAACAAATCTAAAATTGATAATTCAGTAAAAGATAGTGAAATAAGTATCCCAGGATATAATATGATTCGAAAAGATCGCAATAGATTTGGGGGTGGAGTGGTTGTTTATATTCGAGAGATATATTCCTTCTATGAGCGGAAGGATTTAAATTCAGATAATCTTGAAATGATTTGTATTGAGATTTGTAAACCACGAAGTAGGCCATTTCTCATTAGTGCATGGTACAGACCACCCAACTCTGAGATGAAATTATTTGATTTATTTGAAATATTTCTTAGGAAATGTGATGCTGAAAGTAAGGAGTTGATTGTTATTGGTGACATAAATTGTAATATGATTAAGACACCAAAAGACTCCAGTACCAAAAAGTTAATATTTCTGAGCACATTATATAACTTAGAGCAATTGATCAAGGAGCCAACTACAGTCACAAGCACATCATCACCTTTAATTGATCTAGTGTTCACCAATCAACCCAATAACATTTCCAATACCAATAGTGGTGTTATTGACTTGGGAATGTCAGATCACTGTTTAATTTATGCAGTGAAAAAAGTGACCATGCCTAAATATAGGCAAACCCATTCCAAAGTTAGAAATTTCAAAAGATTTAATGAAACTGATTTTATTGAGGAACTGTCCAGAATACCTTGGTATTTAGCTACACAGTATATGAACCCGAACGATAATTGGCATGTCTGGAAACCTTTCTATTTGGAAGCTCTTGACAGGCATGCACCCTTAATTTATAAAAGTATTAAGCACAATTCTTTTCCCTGGATAAATTCCAACATTAAAAAACTAATAAGATCCAGAGACTATCATAAAAAGAGAGCAAAGAAATATAATTCCCAGGTTCACTGGGATAAATATAAATCGGAGAGAAATAAAGTTAACTCGGAAATGAAAAGGGCCAAAACTGTCTATTATCAAACAAGAATTAAGGAATTTTCCCTAGCTAAAGACATGAAAAAAACATGGTCACTGATAAACACCCTATTGGGCAAAGGTGGGAAATCATCTAACATTGCAGAAATGAATATTAATGGCATAATATATAATGATCGCAAACAAATAGCTGAACACTTAAACGACTATTTTGTTAATATTGGCCCAACACTTGCTGCTGAATGTGAACGTCTTTCGGATTATGAAGACATGCATTGTAATTCAACTGGTGTAAATTCAAAATTCTATTTCCATACAATTACTGAATCCAATATTCTAAAAAACCTGAAAAATCTAAAAGTATCCAAGGCTACCGGGGCTGATGGAATACCAGCCAAAATACTGAAATTATCTTGCGATATTATTGCCCCATCCTTGACCTATATATTTAATCTCTCAATTTCTACTGGGATATATGTTGTTGATTGGAAAAGAGCTAGGGTAATACCTGTTTATAAAACAGAAGATAGAACGAAATGTGAAAACTATCGCCCGATATCTATTCTACCCATTATCAGCAAATTATTTGAGAAAGAAGTATTTGGACAGCTCTATCAATATCTGATAGACAATTCTCTACTTTCACGTTTTCAATCGGGCTTCCGGGCCCAAATATTCGACACTGTCCTTATTAATAGAAATGAGTGACAATTGGTTTGAAAATATGGATAATGAAGAAATAACCAGATTAATTTCAGTTCATATTAGGAAAGCCTTTGACTCTATTGATCATAAATTCCTATTAAGGAAGATGCAAGACCAGTTTGGTGTTCAAGATTTTGAGCTAAAATGGTGCCAATCCTATTTGACGAAACGAAGCCAAGTTTGTGTTGTCGATGGCCACACATCGTTGGCTAAGGAAATTGTATGCGGAGTTCCACAGGGATCTATCTTGGGACCCCTCATGTTTTTACTATAAATAAATGATTTGCCAGAATGTCTGAAAAACACAACTGCTGGCATGTATGCTGACGATACTCAAATATATGCATCTTCCACAAGTTTCTCCGAACTAGTAAGCAAACTTAATCAGGATTTAGAAAATATAGTCAAATGGCTCTCTCGAAATAAATTGCAACTTCACACAAAAAAGACAAAAGCAATGTTTATAGGATCACCCTATAACTTAAAAAACAAAGTTGGTAATGAACAGGTTATGATAAATGATAAACCGGTTACTCGTTATTCCTCTTTTCCATGTCTGGGGTAGAACTAGATGAAAGAATGAGCTGGGAAAATCATATTGACACAATATGTAGGAAAGTTGGCTCCGGTATTGGAATCATCAAAAGAGTAAAGCCGTTTGTACCGTCCGAAACACTACAAAATTTATATAATTCTCTCGTTCTCCCATATTTTGACTATTGTTCATCTTTATGGGATAATTGTGGAAGCATGCTCAAAGAGAAATTACAAAAACTACAAAATAGGGCGGCAAGAATTATGACAGGTGCCAATTATGATGTCAGGTCGACAGATTTGCTCCATGCTATGTCATGGAAAAATCTGAACGACAGACATAAAATGAATAAATCGGTCTTGATGTTTAAAATATTAAACAACCACTCAGCTCCGAACTTAAAGGATAAATTTGTAACAAGAGACATAAATCTTAGTACTAATTATAATCTCAGAAATGCTGATATAAATCTTTCAGTTCCTAAACCACGTACTGAATATTTAAAAAAGAGTTTTGGATATAGCGGGGCTGTTCTATGGAATAGTTTACCTACGCAGGCAAAGCAAACAGAATCTTTAAGTAGCTTCAAAAATTTGATAAAATAATGTGTGCTACAGAATCAGGCATCGAATAGTCTTGGTTTTTTAACTTTTTATCTACGTATTTGTTATTCTATGTTATTCTATTTCATATTTAATTGATATTAGTTTTTAGAATGTAATTTGTGTGACGCCCCTCATGAAAATTATCCATGGGTGATGAGGGAAGCGTGGTTAAATAAAGTTTTACTATACTATACTATACTATCCGATCCCTGAGTTGTTGCATCATTTAAATTATGCACATGCAGTCTCCGATTTTATACTAATATGTTTAGCGTTTTTGTTGTGGTACGTTAAATGCTAGATTGCGCATGCGTAACCGATTAAAGCGGTAAAAAGTGTGCATGCTTTTAAATCCCTGTATAAGCAAAGAAGCAAATGTTTTAGCTTAAATTCGCTGATTACAACTAGGGCATGTTTGTCCATTTTTAAGTTGGAGCGCAACTGCTATGCTATTACAAACTATAATAGCATGACTTTTCGGGGGATTAGTGATTAATTGACCTGTTACCCTCGGCAGGTTTGCGAAATTCCCTCGGGCTTCGCCCTCGAGGATTCCGCAAACCTGCCTCGGGTTACGGGGCCATTTAATCACTAATCTCCCTCAAGACATGCTATTACTTATAATAAGCAAATTCGCCGCCGATGTGTGACAATGTCATCGCTGTATTATTCTTGCTGTATTATTATCGCTTATAGACATTTTTTGTGATAAAATTGTTTTGTTCGATATAATAAAACACTTATTGGATTCATCTTCGCCCAATATGACAAAAGTCTGGACTTCAATATTAAGTCTCGACTTCAATATTTAGCTAGACCTCGCCCAATATTGCAGACTTAATTCGCCATACTGGGCTCAGTATAGAATCAATTAGCCATTCCGAAGTTGATGAGTGGACTGGGGACGAGTGTTAAAAAGCGCCCAAATTAAGAAATGAACTAAATCACTAAAAAGACCACCTAAAAATTAGTAAGTATACAAAGTTTGAAGACGTTTACATGAATACCCTTCGAATAATAAGCTTATGAAATTACTGATTAAAAGATTGTTTTTGGGACGCGCATCCCAAAAACAAAAATTGCAATATATTTCACAGTAATTATCGGATTTTCGAAAGCTTATGATTCGAAGGATATTCATGTAAACGTCTTCAAACTTTGTATACTTACTAATTTTGAGGTGGTCTTTTTAGTGATTTGGTTCATTTCTTAATTTGGGTACTTTTTAACACTCGTCCCCAGTCCACTCATCAACTTCGGAATGGCTAATAAGATATAATATGTGCGTTGTAACAGGGAATAGTTAATTCATCCCTGTATTCGACAATAGTGACGCAAATTCTAGTCTATTTTGTACACGCTGTTCTAAATAGTGGAATTGAAACCTTTCTCAGTCAAATATGATATTGCTTGAATCATCATTGCCCACTCAGAATTTTCTTCTTGATTGTATTGTAGGTGATCCTAAGATGGCTGCTGAGTTGCAAGAAATATACGGTGATGTCAATGCTGTTGACCTTTACGTGGGCTTCTTCATTGAGAAGGGCTTGACCACTTCTCCTTTTGGCATCACCATGATTGCTTTTGGTGCCCCCTATTCCCTACGAGGATTGCTCTCCAATCCTGTATCTAGTCCAACTTACTGGAAGCCATCAACATTTGGTGGAGATGTTGGCTTTGATATAGTGAAGACAGCTAGCCTTGAGAAGCTGTTTTGTCAAAATATTTCTGGCAAGTGCCCTCTTGTAACCTTCACAGTGCCCGACAACATTGCTCGTGAAACTAGAAAGGTCCTTGCAGAAAACACAAAAGATGAACTTTAGGCATTTTTGGATTTTAGTGTGTTTAGATTTTTAGATTTCTTCAATTGTGGTTTTGTAGAGTGTTAGTTTTAATTACATTACCCTAATTGGTCCAGAGGTTTTCTCTTGTGTTTCTTCAGACTTTAGTGTCCTTTTAGACGACCAACCTCTTGCACTCGGATGGTAATTTTTGTTACAAGCTGCCAACTGGCATTTTGATATGGCTTAAGCATTGGTGAACAAGACTATTTGTGTTGGCACCTCAAAAGCGTGGGAACGAGGTTGGTTGGCACTTCTGATTTTGAGTGTTTTAACACTAAAAAACCCCTCGAAATTGGCTACAAAAATATGCAAATATGCTTAACTGTCTTATATGTACTTTTTTTGCAAACTTTCTAAATGGTATAGTTTACTTTTGTTAAAAGTGAAAATTCTCAAATGTTCATTTATAAATCCAAAATCAGAGTTGCCAACATATATAGTCTGGTTCATTAATGTCTTTACTCTAAGAAAATGCCAGTTGGCAGCTTGTGACAAAAAATGCCATCCAATAAATGTTTTGCACAGTTTCCAGTTTTGGCCGACCATCTATTTCTTAGAAATAGGTACACTGTGGCAAACATGCTGCAATGGTAACATCTCAGATCAGTTATCAGGTAAAGCGAATGATCACAGAGCGTGAATACTTAGAATCCAAACCGATTGTCATTGAAGCTGAGAAAATACACAATGGAATTGGGGGGTAGGCAAAAACCTAACCCACATCCCCCCTTATCTCATATCACCACGTCCACTCAGAGGCATACACCCTAACATCAGGCTGTGGCTCATGGCTCGGACACACTCCACAGAGAAAACACAATATAGTCAATACAGTACACTGTATTGAAAAAAAACCTAAGGACAAAGCTTATCGAGAAGTGAGCAACTCTCTAACCGTTGGTTTACATTGTACCCTGAAACATGCAAAATACTTCGGAATATGAAAGGAGTAGTTCATTTTCTATCGATTTTCAAGATGCACGTGGTCATTGGGTAATTGGACGACAATTACGTTTTGATTCTGTGATTTTCTTGCATCCGGGTTGTTGCATATGAGATAGATGTTGGGCAGAGTGGATGCAGTTGTTATCATGTCATGTGTTGGTCACAGCCGAGTGTGTTTTCCTACCTAGCAGATGACTATATCAACCCAATTCGACTGCAATGTCTTTTCTTTTACTCTGGTTAATTGCAGATGATTTTACTTGTTGCAAGATTCTTCCCTGGGTCTAGACGGGTAAATTTGTCTAGCATTGGACAGGGTAAAACAAATGAAATTTCCTATAGGAATTCCTATAGGAATAGAATTCCTATAGGAATTTCCTATAGGAATTCCTATAGGAATAGATTTCCTATAGGAATAGAATTCCTATAGGAATAGAATTCCTATAGGAATTTCCTATAGGAATTTCCTATAGGAATTTCCTATAGGAATTTCCTATAGGAATTTCTTACAGGAATTTTATTCGACGCGAATTTTAATACAAGTATGGTATCATATTTCATAATATAACAAACAATGTAAACTAGCCATACATTTTGCCGAACATAACTTCGGCCCCTTTGGACATATCTTTTTCGTAATAATATTATTGGAACCAGAATCGAAAACACTATTTATAGTGTTATTTCAAGCTTGCGTCTTGAGATTTTCATCTTTTATTTCGGTATTTACAGAATATTTATATTTTTAGCGCGGCCCATGGAAATCGATTCTGTAGGTCGGCATGATTTGCACGTGCATTGATCGAGCTATAAACGTGCGTGCGAGTAAAAACCTGACATTTTGAAAAATTCAAAATAAATATTCCTACTCTGTGCCGTATTCAAACGAAACATTGTACATGAAAGCGCTTGAATACAAGATGTATTTTACTCACATTGACTCTGAGCAAATTCTGAAGAGTTACTAAAGAATACTAAAGCAGGGTGCATTGCCTATTAATGGGTTAATAAGAGCATTGGCAGAAGTGTTTGTTAACCCATTTACTGACAGTACTCTGCCACTAACAATTAAAATCGTCTGGCGTTACACAGTGTAAATTGGTCTGGCGTTAGCCAGAGTTTAATACTAAAGTAGTGTGCATTGGCAGCTAATAGGTTAATATCCACTTTCAGGTCATATGCCAAAAAAGGCAGCACTTTCCTTGCGATAGTAACTCCTAGTTATGAATTTGCACCATTACTCCCGAAAAGGTCTTTTATTTTTTTAAAAAGTCCATAAAATTTGCTTGCGGTTTAAGATTTGTATTCCTGCCTTTTGCACCATAGCACGTATGTCGTTATGTTCAGGCCAGTGTGAACGCCTGAGCAGGCGTCTTGTTATCATTAATTCATTATCGATCTTTGGAGTTACACTTGTTTTGTATTTTGTTAAAATACTCAGTGGTTATTTTTTAGTATCAATGTGTTTAGCTAGCTAGGATTTCTATAATTCCTGATGGTCCCTAATGCAAGCATTACTATTGGAATTTTATCCCTATAATCCCTATAAGATACAGCCAATAGTTCGCACTTCAACTGGACGCCCTGGTGACTAGTTTACGTTTCAGAGCGCAAAGCTTCATGGGATAGCATCGTTTTATTACACTGGCCTGTAGGCCAAGTGTCTTAAATCCCTCTTTTTCTGTTTTCGACGAGAAATGGAGTTTGCGTTAGGTCATCGCAGGCTCAGGGTGCAACGTGCTCCAGTGACATATTCAGTTCAGTTTCAAAATGGCGACTTTTCACTGAGCGATCTAACATATATTTCACACAGTTTCGTTGAATTTTCAAAGAATTGTGTCGGTTTCCCATGGATTTTATGTTGTGTCGCACTCTGGCCTTTCTTGCGTGTTGAATTTGTGTGTTTTTCTTTGTGTAACAACTCGAAAACCCCAAAATTTTGACCCAGCGAATGTATACAATATAGTGGAATATAAACAAGGACAAGTTAAAGGTTTGACAACTTTTGACAGTTTGACTTTTTAACAAGTATAAATATACGTTGTACGTAGGCTCATAAACATGCGTTGTGCTCTTGTATTTATTTGCATAATTATAAATTTGCACCTAATTACATTAATTTGCGCCAAATTACTTTCTAATTCATCATATATTACGTTATATTTCTTTCTAATTCATCATATATTCATCATTATAAAATGTATGTTTTCGATTGTATTCAGGGATGTGGCGTTGCGTGCGGCGAATTGAAACGTGATACGGTTCGATTTGTTTTTGGAACAAGATCCAACTCCCCCCCTCCACTTTTTTAATTCTCAAATTGTTTATTAGATGTTTACTGGTTGGGGTTAGAGAAGGGCTTTGGGTTGGCATCAGTTTATATTATAAATGGAAGTAAATTGGCGTATTTTTTAGAAGAATCGTCTACGTCAATGAACTTTTTACAACATGAAACTAGCCATATAACGGCATTAAAAATCAAGGACTATCATTTCTTCACTATTATTGGCCCGTCATTATTATTACAGTGGGCCTGGCTTGTCAGGTTCAGTTGCCCGTACGCCGGAGGGTACGTCTGAGCCGGTGTCTTGGTATATTATGGTTGATAGTTGCTGATCATGATTGTATTTATTGCATGGTTGTGTTTATATGATCCAGTATCCTTATGATCCTGTATCCCTATCTACTTCTCTACTACACATTACACCCAATACTACGAAAGTTGCCATATTCAGGCCAGTGTGAACGCCTGAGCAGGCGTCTTGTTTGTGATAAAAATTAATTGGTATGGTCACTGTGGTGCTTGGAATATTTCGTTGATATTTTTAACCCAAACGGTGGAAAAGGAATCGGAAAGTTCTTAACATGTTTTTCAGATGTCACAGGTAAGAATACTTTTATATTTGACTTATTATTTAAGCTCTTTAATTGCGAAATAATGTGGTGAATAGGCCGTATTCTGTGACCCCAAAAGTCGCTTAGAAAACAAGTTTCGTTGCCCACATTCCCCATCTACTTTTATTTTACATGAATCTATAGATTTTGATACGCTGAGTACGAATTCACTTGTTGTCACTCGCACAGACCCACAGTTTTTTTGTATTTTACGATCAAACATCAACATTTTTTATTAAAATTTCCACCATTTTGTTCAGGAAACTTCATGTTATATGCAGTTATGTACTAGTCCAAGTCTCTTAGCAGGGAGGTTGCACACGGTATTACGCAGTTTGTTATCATTCTTCTGAGAAAAATATACAGAAATAAAATAAAAATATAGATATTTTTCCAAAATATAAATGCAAAAGGTACTGCTACATGTTTGTAAATAATTAGGAATTAATCTATTATTCTTTATTGCATCAACTTTAACAATCCATCAAACTGGGCATTGTTCCTGACAGTTGGAAACTAGCAAATCTTTTACCTGTCCCCAAAGAATCTCCTCTGACAGAATCAAACCAATTACAACCCATTTCGTTGACTAATACTAGAAATACATGCATGCAACAACCCCTCGCCTATGTTTTCCAAACATTGTTTCAACATGAAGTATTCGTAATTACGCCAACACTGAACGCAGGCTCGCGTTGCCACGTCATGTTGGTCATGGCAACACGATAATTGTTTTTTAATTTTTTCTACAAACTGGGAAAAAATAGTTGAAATTTGAACACTTTTAAATACAGAACTATCAATTTCTAAAATATATAAAGTAGGTCTAATATTTTGGTTTCTATGGGCTTCATTTTAATGTAAAATTCAAAACGAAACTGTACGTAAAACGTTTTTAAATATGAATTGAAATTAACTGCTTTTTGCCGATATTTATAAACTTCTCAACTCGATCTTCAACTTATTACCCGCACTTTGAAATGAAATAAATTTAATTCGTACAGGACGTTATAATGAAAATAATTTGCTTTCCTTTTTATCATGAACTTCTACAAAAGTTAATTTAACTAAGAAACTTTCGCAAACAATGCATAGGAAAGACTCGAACATCAAGAACAAAGTCTATATTATTAAATACAATTCATACATAAACAATTGAAACAAACTTGCCCTATACTTTAGGATTTATCACACAATATCAATTCTTATCAATGTTTACGTTTAAAAATTGC